GCGCGAGGAGGACGGCGGCGAGGGCAACAACGGCGGCAGCAGCGGGAACGGGGGCGGGGGAGGGAGCTGGGACGGGGAGCGGCGCAACGGGCGGCGCACGCCACCGCCGCCGCGGTTGCAGGCGGAGGCGCAGCCGCGGCAGCAGCAGCAGAAGCAGCAGCAGGATCGGCAGCAGCAACAGCAGCAGAAGCAGCAGCAGCAGCAGCAGCAGGAGCAGCAGAAGCAGCAGCAGCAGAAGCAGCAGCAGCAGGAGCAGCAGGAGCAGCAGAAGCAGCAGCAACAGCAGCAGCAGGAGCAGAAGCAGCAGCAACAGCAGCAGGATCGGCAGCAGCAGCAGCAGCAGCAGCAGCAGCAGCAGCAGCAGCAAGATCGGCAGCAGTTGCAGCTGCAGCAGCTGCTGCGGCAGCAGGCACAACAGCAGCAGCAAGCACATAAGCAGCAGCAGCAGCAGCAGCGGCGGCAGCAGCAGCAGCAGGCAGCGGCGGCAGCGGCAGTTGCCGGAGTACCGTCCTTGCATGTGCCAGGGCAGCAGCCGCTCTTTGCGCTGGGGCAGCTGGCTCCCATGCAGCCTATCATGCTTCTGCAGCCCGCGCAGCAGATTCTGGCGCAGTCTTTCCTGATACAACCGGCAAGCGCGCGGCGCGGCCCCGGCTCCGACGCGGCAGCAGAGGCCGAGGCGGCGGCCGCTGCCGCGGTCGCGGAGGCGACGGCGGTGGCGGCGGCGGAGGCGGCGGCGGCGACCGCCGCGGCCGCCGCGGCTGCGGTGTCGAGCGCGTTTGGAGCGCCCCCTGCGGCGGCGCCGGCGCTGCTGGGTGCCCCATTCGGCGCACGCCTGCCAGGGCGCCCGCTTGAGGCGGCGCAGGCTGCCACGACACCCGCGGCTGCCGCGGTGGCGGCGGTTTTCGCAGCCGCCGAAGCCGCAGCGTGTCCCGCTGCGCCGCTGACAGGGGCCCCCGCTGTCAGCACGGCAGGCCCGGCCGCAGCAGCAGGCGCCGTCCCCGCAGCCGAGGGGGCCAGCGGCGGGGGGCCGGCTTGCGCGGCCGGCGCGGCGGAGCCCGCGCCCTGACCCGCAAGGGGCCCCCGGCATGGCGAAGAGCACTGCTGGGCAGCCCCATATACACGGCAGGCTGGACAGCAGCACGAGCAGGCGTTGAATCACATAAGAACCCGCCGCACAGGCGCACCCGAAACGCACCTTTTGCCCCGGGCTCCCCTCGCCCCGACAAACCTGACCTCGCGTGAGCCCCCTGTAAATACGCCTGCGCGGCCCTGAGACACTGTATCACACTTTTGTTGCTGGTCACGCGGGCTAGGCCCTGCTGGGCAGGCTGGCCCCAATGCCGGGCTGGCTGGCTGGCCCCGCAGCGGCGCCCCCGGCCACGATCAGGGTGCGCAGCCAAGGTGGGCAGCTGCGGGGCAGCAGCCGGCGGCCAGCAGCAGGCGTGCGGCAGGCAGCCTGCGCATGTACAATGCCCGTATCAGTATGTATACATAGATACATGTATACACATATACATAGGTAAACAAATACATTTATACATATGCAAGATTGGCTGCAAGGTATCTCAGCTTTGCTGATAAGTGTCCTGACTGAATAGGGCCCTGAGAGGTATCTTACAGGTGACGTGAGTCGAGGGCAGTGCGGCTTGGTAAGCTGGTGACGCTTCTGGCAAGTTTTGGTGGTGCGCATGAAAGAAGGCGCTGGAGGGGGGGTGGGCGCTGCGCAAGGTGCGCCGCCGCCGCAGGAGTTGCGCGCAGCGGCCGGCAAGTGGGTGGTCACGTGGGCTGTAGGATGGCGGCCCCTCTCAGGTTGTCGGCGCGGGGGAGGGGGTTGCCGCGCCGCGGCGGGCCGCTGCCGGGGCAGCTCTTATGCAGCGCAGCGGGGCAGAAGCCGGGACCGTTGCTGTGTTGGGTTGTTGGCAGGAACACACGCAGGGCTCATACGAAACCATGGAACGAAACAGTGCAACACACAGCGAGGCGAGGGGGGGGGAGAGGCAGGGCGCCGTCCGGGCCGCGGCACAGAAACCCCTGCGCGCCACGAGGCGCGCGGGCCGGCAACGGCGCACAGCGTGTGCGGCGCCGCGCCGCTTTTGGGTCGGCCCAAGGCCCCGGCCTTGCTTTGCGACGAGCAGACAAACCGGCAGCAGTGCAAGGTGGATTTCGAGCGCTTCGTCTTCGGTCCTCCCGCAGAGAAGGTGTCACGCATGGGCCAATTCGGGTGTCAGTCCTCGCGGCCGCGCACCACGCACGCGCCCGGCCGCCGCAGCCCAACGTGGGCGCCGGCCGCGGCCAGAGTGCCGCGCAGGGGCCAGGGCCAGCCTCCGCGCGCGCGGCCGCGCCTCTCAGTGGCCGCGACAGCGTGCCCCTCAGTGGGCGGCCCCGTTGCCGCCGTTGCCGGTGCCGACGCTAGCCGGGGCGGCGGCGGGGCGCTCTGCCGAGAAGAACTCCTGGTGCAGGGTGCGCACAGCCCTCTTGCCTTCGGCCGCGTCCACAACCAGCGATATGTTGACCTTTGACGCGCCCTGGCTCATCATCTGGACGTTGATGCCCTCGCGCAGCAGGACGCTGAACGCCTGGGGGGGAGGGGGCGGGTTACAAGA